ACATGTCAACACTCTCCCTTCTCGACCTTGGAGGACTTTTTTTTTTTTTTTTTGGTGAAAATATACATAGCCAAAGTTACACCATTTCAAAAGTTTAATTCCTCATTAAGTGTTTGGAAAAATTAGCATCCTGTAGTTTTATGCGTTGCTGTCTTTTCTAATACCTGAAGATTCTACACTTGCAGCTAGCAACAGCCCTTCCCAGGCAGTTCATTAAATTCTCTTCAAGAGAGCCCTAGACTTTTTGCCTGTCTGTAAATATGCAGTTGCCTGAAAGCTGTGCCCCAGGGCCTGACTGGCACAGCTATTCTAGACATTTTAAAATATCTCTAGTTTTAGATACCCAAATCACATGCCAACTCCAAGCGCTAGGCCTCTCCAGTATTCCACTGAGAAATACATGCACACATCTAGTGTATCCGTTCTTGCGTGCACGGTAGGCAGCAGTGTTTTTGTTTGCCAACACACTTCTGTTTTCCAACACCCACAAATTTGTTGAAATGTTTCATATTGCTCATCCACTGATGACCCCCACCTTTTTTCTTTATGGATGTTTCCCATCCCTTTCAATTTAGAGAAGGGAGACGATCACACGACCTCCTGAATTCAAAGGCGAAAGACTTAAGCGAAGGAAAACACAAAAACTAACAATCTTGAAAGTATGTGGGCATAATTAACATAAGAGCAGAAATTAATAAAAGAGGGGTGGAAGTGTTAACGGGCATTGAGGGATGAAGAGGGCTTCGCTGTGAGCGGAAGGTTGCTGCGGCATCGAGGGTCTGATTAACCGTAAACAGATTAAGTTCACGACGACGGAGCAACACGTGCGACGGCCTAACGGGGAGGGGACGTGGTGAGGGCAACTAAAAAGCCTAGGAGAGGCAGCCTACAGAACCCGTAGCAGGATGCGGCGCGCGCGCAGAGCACTAGGCGGAAGCGCAACGGGGTTGTTGAGGGTGGGAGCGCACGCAGCGAGCTCTGGGCGGAAGCGGGCGATGCGTGGGCGCTGAGGTCCACCTGCGTGGAGGGAGGGGACTAGGGCGGGTATCGCCGTTGGACCGAGGCACTGCAGCCCGGGCGTGTCGCGTGCCGCGCCGCTCCGTGGTCCAGGCCGTGGCGGTTGTGGGTCGGAGGGAGGAGCGAGCGGCCTCACTAAATTTTCTGGACGGACGAGGTGGCTGAGGTGGTTGTCGCCGCAGAGACTTGGAGCAGTCGGGTGAGTGTCTTTCGCGTCGTTGCCGCACTGCGTCCCACGCATCCGTTCTGTTCTGTGCTCCTCGGTGCACGCCGGCTCCCCAGCCCCGCCTTGCTGAAGGCCTGATGTACGAAGTGTGGTACAGAAGTTTTCCCGTCTAGCTTTGTAAAAATTCTGGAAAATTTAGGTGATTTCTGAAATGCTGAGAAAAATACTCGCTTTTTTCTTATGCAGTACTGATCTGAGATGGTTTTGTTTACGAGTATAGTATAATTTGATTTCCGCATACGCTTATCTTGTTTGTTATTTAAGTATTAAAATATAGTTTGTGCTTGCAGAAACAACAAAATAATTTTTATTTTGAGCAACTTTGTTTAAATGCGTTTTAAACTCCTTTAAGACTTCAAGGAATTTGGCGGCTTTTATTTTTTTGCAGTTTATTAGACGTTTTTAAGAAAAGCAACGTACTAAATCACACAAACTTTTCAAGAGTTTCTGAACTGAACATCTACTATACTGTCAGATAGAAAGTAAAATTTATTTAAGAGATTTTATTGTCTTTGTACCCCCAAGATCTCTCTCCTCCCCTCTCCCATTTAGAACCATTGTTCTAAAATCACAGTTTGTTATCCATTGGTTGTCCAGCTTCCTTCTGCCTTCCTCCCAAGTAGATTAATTAAACAAATATAGGTAGTTTCTAACTGATTAACCGCCATTATATACAAATTGGCTTGACCTTCTCCTTTAGAGTCCCCAATGCAGCCATGAGGCCAGATGAAGCTGTGTAAAACCTTGCACTGTTCAGAGAAAATGCCTAGGATACTGTGCAAATTATGGTTCTCCAGCAACATTGCTTAGCTTTTTTGCTAGCTTTTGAGGTTACTTTTTGATGTTTTCACTTTATTTTGCTACAGATTCTTTTAAGTAGCAAGCAACTTTTTTGAGAACAAATTTGGAAGTGTTAAGTCATTCATAAATTAGTTTAGTCAGGCAGTTGCTCTCCCAACACCTACCTGAGATCAGCTCCCTTGTCAGGATGGCAGTTTGCTGGGGTCTCGTATTTGCGTTTTGTTTTGTTTTGTTTTTTGTAAATAGGTAATAGTGGAGCATTAAAAAGTGGTGGCATGCCTGGTTAAAGAGCCAAGAAGGGGAATGAAGAAATGGAATTTTATACAGCCTGCAAGTGCTCAGAGCCTCTCACTAAAAGTTAAGAGAAAGGTATACAATAGTGGCGGATGGTATCAAGAAGAACACATACATCGAAAACTTTCCGGAGGAAAATGATGGCATTGGCAAAAATATAATATATTTTGGAAGAATATACAGTAAAACTAGTGACAGCTGGAAACTGTGTAAGGCAGAAACCTGTCAGAAAAGAAAAACGCAAATATTTTCCACTAACAGACAATGACAGAAAAGTGGTAAGACAGCAGCTTGTCAGAGGCAGAAAACTTGTGAGACCTAGAAGAACAAGGCAGTCCCATCAAGTTCCAGCTCTCACAGGTTTCACTGTATCTGGCAAGAGCTTTCAAATGTGTCATAACAAAAACCCAAACCAAACCTATTGCCATCGAGTCCATTCTGAGTCATAGTGACCCTGTAAGGACAGAGTAGGACTGCCCTGTAGAGTTTCCAAGGCTGTAAATCCTTACGGAAGCAGACTGCCACATCTCTTTTCCGAGGAGTGGCTGGTAGGTTCAGTTAGCAGCTGAGCCTTTAACCACTGTGCCACCAGGGCTCCTAAATGTGTCATAAGGGGTAGAAAAATGAAAGGTTACACAGCCTGTTATGTAATTGTTGCATAACTGTAGGTGTAAGATTTTCTGGATGTTATTAACATGTATGAAGGTGAAGGAGCAGGCATGGAGAAGGTAGCATAGATATAGGAGACTTTTTGGAAGAAGGAAGTAGCAAGACTTGGTGGCTACAAGACCAAACCTGTTGCCATTGAGTCGATTCCGACTCATAGCAACCCTATAGGACAGAGTAGAATTGCCCCATAGGGTTTCCGAGGAGTGGCTGGTGGATTCGAACTGCCGACCTTTTGGTTAGCAGCCATAGCTCCCTGTAGCTCTTGACCACTGCGCCACCAGGGACCCAAGACTTGGTGGGAGTGGGTGGAAAATGAACGATTAAAAAGAACAACTACATGGTTCTGCGCTATGGGAACTGGGAGCCATTAACAGAACTGAAGAAGTTGGGAAAGGGAATTTGGTAAGAAGAAGAGTCTGTCAGCAAATGTCTGAACTAGCTTGGTGCCTTAACAGCTTCTTCTTGGCCCACAGTCTTGACAGTATTGTTGTTAGCTGCCATTGAGTCAGCCCTCGACTTCTTGTTGTTAGATGCCATTAAGTCGGTTCCAACTCATAGCGACCCTGCATACAGCAGAATAAAACACTGCCCGGTCCTGCGCCATCCTCACAGTCATAGCTATAGCTGATCCCATTGTTGCAGCCTCTGTGTCAGTCCATCTCATTGAGGGTAGTCCTCTTTTTCGCTCACCCTCTACTTTACCAAGCATGATGTCCTTCTCCAGCGACTGGTCCGTCCTGATAACATGTCCAAAGTACTTGAGATGAAGTCTCACCATTCTTGCTTTTAAGGAGCATTCTGGCTGTATTTCTTCCAAGACAGATTTGTTTATTCTTTTGGTAGTCCACGGTATATTCAATATTCTTCACCAACTCCATGATTCAAAGTCATCAATTCTTCTTCGGTCTTCCTTATTCATTGTCCAGCTTTAGCATGCATATGAGGTGATTGAAAATACCATGGCTTGGATCAGATGCACCTTAGTCCTCTGTTATTAGTGTGACTGTATAATTGTCAAACTGTCTCTGTTAAATGTCAGGACCAGAGCTGCAGACCCGGGCTATATTGGGGAATCAAGGGTACAGTGGTTACCTTATTGAGAAAAAGATTCTACATTACCACCACCACCATCACCACCAGATTGAATGGTAGGTATACGTATTCAAATCTTTGCCTCAGGAAACGCAACAAAAGTTTATTGAGTATACCATCTTCTTCAGGTACTCTTTGATGCTTGAGGTACTGAGATAAAGAGTATAAAAGACATCATCCCTGCATAAGAGTTCACAGTCTACTGCCTATACCTAAGAAAAAGCCCACATAGTTACACAGTACACCTTATTATATTTCAATACCTTTTTTCATAAGCAATTTCTAACAAAACAAAGGGTCTGAAAACATGCTTGGAAAATTTCCATTAGACTGTAAAATGTGATTATGAGATTGTACAATAACAATTCAGTGATGCCTATAGAAATGAGATAGACTCTACATAAAAGTTGCATATTCTGTAGCAGAAAAATGATGTGAGCACATACTCTGCCAGGCACTGCTCAGCACTAAAAATAGAATGAAGGATGAGACAAAAGAGGTCCTCAGCTCTCATGGCTTACATTTTAGTAGTGAAGACTGTAAACAAATAAACAAACAAAATATGCAGATTGATAAATGGTAGAAAGGAAATATGGTGATAAGAGAGAGTAACTAAGGGTAATTACCCTTAGAAATCCAAAGCAAGTCTGAGTCTGGGGTGATCCTACTGCAGGCAGTGCAAATGTACCCTCCTTCAAAGTATTTCCTGCTACTATTTTAGAGGTAAATGTTTTCTAGCAGCTAGTTTGAGCCAGGATTATGACTCAAGCCCTTGCAACATGAAATCACTGGAAATTTTCAAATTTCTCATTAATTTATGCCCAGTGACTTTCCTTCATCATTTGGGAAGATGACATTTCTCATGATGTTCCTTTCATGAGAATAGCTCGTTTGTACAGGCTTTGTATTATAAGAAAGATACCAGAAGCATGAATACAAAATTAGGGTTTGTTTTTGAAGGCGCCCTGGTAGTGTAGTGGTTAAGTGCTTGGCTGCTAACCAAAAGGTTGACGGTTTGAACCCACAAGCTGCTCCATGGAAGAAAGATGTGGCAGTTTGCTTCCATAAAGATTACAGCATTGGAAACCCTATGGGGCAGTTGGACTCTGTCCTATAGGGTTGCTGTGAGTCAGAATCGACTGGGCAGCAATGAGTTTGGTTTGATTGATTTGTTTTTATTTTGATAAACATGGGTAGGAGGATTATTCATTCAGTAAACTGTGTACCAGATATTTCTCTGCTCTTTGAGATGAGAAGTGGGAGCAATGACTTCTGTAGCTTTTTTTTTTTTTTTAATCTTTCTAGTTAATCACTGTGTGTAAGACTACATACACAAGAGTGAGTATAAAAGTAGGAGTATGGGATTTGTGATAATTGACCACAGTTAATATTTTGTTAGGTATCCTATATTTCTCCTCTTCAGTCTTGACCAGTGGTGAATTTCCTTTTCAAATAGAAGAATGGCATTGGAGTTCAGACAGTTTACACTTCTTCTTTGGAAGAATTTTATTTTAAAAGTAAGTATACACATCTGAAAAAATATGGGAGGGACTAATGACCCTAGGAGTAGACAGATTGTAACAACTGATACGCTCCACTCCAGGTCCTGAGTCAGGTTCAAAATGGGCATCTGAGCCATCAAAAATTAGTCACACACTAGAATTAAGGAGCTGTTAGTATGCCCCTTAAGAGGGCAGGGGAATGGGATATATAGTTGAAAGTCCAGAAACTCATGTTGATTAAAGGTCAGAAAAGAAAGTAAAAATATGACTAAGAAGAAGAACCTGGGACAAACATTTGATCAGATGTTGCAGGCATAGTGGCTTCAGGAGGTGTCTTAGTTATCTAGTGCTGCAATAACAAAAATACCACAAGTGGGTGGCTTTAACAAACAGAAATTTATTTTCTCACGGTCTAGGAGGCTAGAAGTCTGAATTCAGGGTGCCATCTTCAGGGGGAGGCTTTCTCTCTGTCAGTTCTGGGCGAAGATCCTTGTCTTCAATCTTCTCCTGGTCTAGGAGCTTCTCAGCGCCGGGACCCTGGGTCCAAAGGACATGTTCCATTCCTGGCTCTTCTTGCTTAGTAGTAATGAGGTCCCTCTCCTCTCTGCTCGATTCTCTCTTTTATATCTCAAAAGGGATTAATTTAAGATACAGCCTAATCCTGTAGATTGAGTCCTGCCTCGTTAACATAACTTCTTTTAATCTGCCTTATTAACATCATAGAGGTTAGGATTTACAACACCATAGGCTAATCACATCAGATCACAAAATGGTGGACACCCACACAATACTGGGAATCATAGCCTAACCAAGTTGATACACATTTTTTGGGGACACAGTTCAATCCATAAGAGGACAGAAAATAGTGAATGAACACGCAAGCTAGGTTGTCAAAAGTCTGATGAGACAGGGACCAGCTTCCACAGAATTTGGCTGGGCAAAATGGGCTAGTGAACAGATAAAACATACCAACACCAGAAAGCTTGATAACTGGCAGTCTTCTGCTATAGCCAAGGAGTTTTCAAGCTCTTTCTCTTTGGGCAAAAGAAAGCAGCTAAGTGGGAACACCTGATTGGAGGGGAGAGTGAGTAAACAAGAAGGGAGACAGTTTGTAAGAGGATACTGATGCTTTTTAGTCCAGGAAGCAGTAGGGGTTATGGAGTAGAGAGAGAAGGAAAGAATAAAACCTTGATATGAGGTTAATGAATATGTCCTGTACGTTCATTTTGTTCCAGAAGCGACAGTGGATTCTTCTAATCATGGAATTTACATTGGAACTGCTGTTCACTGTTATTCTCTTGATAGTTCGTAATTCTGGTTCTGTAAAGCATTTGAGTGCTCTCACGTTTGCCAATCAGTCTGTCCAGAGTCTGCCGCCTTATTTCCTTGATGCCAGCATACGAAGAGACTGGGAACTGGCTTATATCCCTTCCAACGTTGAAATAGTGAAAGATCTTATTAAAATGGTACAACAGACTTCATTAAATAATTTTACAAGTAAGGAATTATGAACAGAAGTTTCTCATATGCCAATTAAGTTATTTTATAAAAATTAATTGTAAATGTTGTAGATTATACTTGGTCCTCATAATTTTAAGCAACCCAAGAGAGAATTAATTACTTAAGAAATAAATAGTCATAGATTAGGATACAAAATGAGGAATTTTGACTGTTTGTAAGGATCCTTCTGCTTCTTTGGATCTTATGTCTTCCTGTCTACGGTAGTGGGGCCAAAAAGAGGTGGTGCTAACCTGAAAACTAGAATTAAAACTCTCCAGGTGAAAGTTGAGTTTGCAAGTGAGGAATTTTACAGAGCTTCAGAGAACTATGAAGTTTTGCCAAGCCCTGGCAGACTTAACAAAATTCTGTATCTGTAAAAGTGTCTGATAGTTTCTCATTCCCTCAGATAGAGCATCAGCTATTACTGCCTTTATGTTGACAGCTTACTGCTTGGATTTTCTCTTCATATAGTTCATGGCTTTACTTCAGAGGAAGCTTTTGAAGAATACATTAAACATAATCATAGCTCTGATCGGGTAATGGCTGCTGTCGTTTTTAACCATGACTTTGCAATCAGCAAGGACTTGCCACTTCAGGTGAGAAAGCCTTCATTCAAAAAGGTTCCCAGGGTTATAATAAAGATTTAATGATCAGACGTGACAATCCCCGTTGGAATTTAACTGCTTGATTAATCAGCATATTTACCCTAAGAGCATCTCTGCCAAGACCAGAACTGCCAAGTTTGGTTTGATCTAGTTAAGGATCTGTATGGTTCTGGGTGGTTTAGGTCAAGGGTCCAATATTTTTTCTAAAGAGAAGCTACTTTGGGTTTGCTCAGACTTTTGTGGTTATTGGGGTAAGTGAGATAGTGAATGTGGCAACAAAGTGATGGGGCGGGACAGCTGTGAGTTGCATGAAGCTTTGAGACAAATGGGCCTGGTTGGAGCATGTAAGATTGACTGCCTTCTAGGTAAGCAACTGAAATCTTCAAAGCTCCTGAGCAGGCATTGCAAACCTATTTAAGGAGGATATGTTTTGGGGAGTTAGCCGAAACAGCTACCTTCTCAAGGTGACTGGTCCAAAGGACACGCTTCTCTCCTGGCTGTTATTTCTTGGTGGTAGTAGGTCCTTCTCTCTTTGCTTGCTTCTCTCTCCTTTTGTCTCTTTTAAGATAAAAGGTGATACAGGCCACACCCCAGGGATATGCCCCCTTACTCAGTGCTGTGACCTGAGTAAGGGTGTTGCATCCTACCCTAATTCTCTTTAACATAACCTAATCTTACCTTATTAACCACAGACAAGAGGTTAGGATTTACAACAAATAGAATGATCACATTAGATCACAAAATGGTGGACAGCCACACAATGCTGGGAATTATAGCCTCGCCAAGTTGGCACATATTTTTGGGGGACACAATTCAGTCCATAACAAATCACTCTGGTTTTGTCTTTTGAGGTTATCATATAAATGGAATCACTTTGAGATTCATCCATTTAGAGCTATGATCAGTTTTGAATTAACTTTAGCTTTCCTTTTTTTTAATTGTAAAAAATGGAATACAGCATTTGCCAATTCCACATTTTTCAGTTGTACAATTCAGTGAAACCAATTACGTCAATCATATTGTGCCACTATCACCAAAATCCTTTGCCATATTTTCCATCCCTATAAACAGAAACTCATTGCTAGCTAAACAAAAATTCACCTCTATCTCCTTCCCTTCATCCCCTAGTAACCACTGTTGAACCCTGATCTCTGTATATTCGCCTATTCTGAGTGTTTCATACTAGTGATCATACATTATTTTTGTCCTCTTGTGATTGACTTATTTCACTTAGCATAATGTTTTCAAGGTTCATGCGTGTTGTGTCATGTATCAGGACCTTGTTTCTCTTTATGGCAGAATAACATTCCATTGTATGTATATACCGCATTTTGTTTATCCATTCATCTGCTGATGGACGTTTATTTGGGTTTTTTCCACCTTTGGGCTGTTGTGAATAGTGCTGCAGTGAACATTGGTGTACATGTGTCTGTTAGTGTCACTGCTTTCAAGTCTCTTGATTAAGGTATGAGGTGTAGGTAGAGGTTCATTTTTCTGCATGTAGATGTCCAGTTGTTCCAATACCATTTACTGGGGAAAGAAATGCCTTTTGTCCATCGAATTGCTTTTGCACCTTTCTCAAAAATCATTTGGTTATATCTGGGTAGGTCTATTTCTCAACTCTTCTTTTCTGGTCCATTGATGTTTGTCTCTGTCCCTTCACCAATACCACATTGTCTTGATTACTGTAGCTTTGTAGTATGTCTTAAAAATGGGTAGTATGCACTGTTTGAGGAAAGTGTCTGAGGGATCTGTTCGGAATAACTAAAATTTAAGAGAAAGTGACTACTTTAACCATGTTATCACCCAAAAAGAGTTCCCAGTTCCCCTCTCTTGTACGTAATCTGGCAGCTGTTGATCTACTTCTCTCTGTATTTGTCTTTGCTGGACGTCTCACATAAGTGGAATCAAATACATGCTTTTTTGTGTTTGGCTTGTTAAACTTCACATGTTTCCAAGGTTCATCTGTGTTAGCATGTATCAGTACTTCATTCCTTTTGATTACTGATATCTCATTGTATGGATATGCCACATTTTGTTTATCCATAAATTGATGGGACATTTGGGGGGTTTATACTTTTTAGCTATTGTGAATAGTGCTGCTATGAACATTTGTACAAGTTTTTGTGTGAACATACATTTTCAGTTCCTTTGAGGATATATCTAACAACTATCAAACTTTTCCTGAGATACACGTTTGAATGGCCATTTTAAATGGCTCAGTACAGTGTGTAAATGAGGCTATGGGCATAATAGACCATGCAGCAAAATTGACTGCAAAAATAGAATTACTAGCAATTTACCGACATTTGCGTCATTTCAGACAGGTAAAAATCTGTCCTTTGACCCAAATTCTGCTTTCCACTCTCCCAGGCTAATTGTATAACCCATAATTTGTAATAATCTAACTGATAGTAATAAGACCTGAACCAATTATGAATTCTCATGAGTATACACAGAACAATAGTTTATTTCATGTAAGATCTTTTTGTCCAGTTGAAACCAAGATTTCCAATAAAGAATTCCGCCTTAAAAAATAAATAAAATAAATGGATAGTGTTGAGTCATCAAACTTTATTCTTTTTCAAACTTTAACTATTATAGTTCCACTGCTTTTCCCTGTAAATTTTAGAATAAGCTCGTCTATATCTACAAAAAAGGAGCCCTGGTAGTGCGTTTTAGAATAAGCTTGTCTATATCTGCAAAAAGCCCCACTAGGATTATTGCATTAAATCTGTGGATGATTTTGACATCTTTACTGTATTGAGTCTTCTAATCCATGTGCATGGTATGTCTCTTATTTAGGTCTTCCTTGATTTTTTTCATCAGCTTTTTATAGTTCCCAGCATACAGATCCTGTACGTGTTTTGTTAGTTTATACCTAATTGTTTCATTTTTTAAACTAATTATAAGTGGTATTTTCCCTTGTTTAGTTTTAATTAATATATATGCCCATCCAACATACTGTTTTTTGAACTCTTAAGAAATATCGTGCTCTGTATAGCCACTTTTATACTCAGCATTAAGTTTCTAAAATTCATCCATGTTGTTGTATGTAGCTAGAATTTATTTATTTTTAGGGCTGTGGTAATTCAGTTTTTAAATATATCACTGTTTATCCATTCTACTGTCAGTGGATGTTGAAGATTCTTCCTGTTTGGGACTGTTACAAACAATGTGTTTTAAATATTCTTGGTAATGTCTCCTGCTGCACAAGTACATGAGTGCTAGAGTTCTTCGGGATATATACCCAGAAATGAAATGTATGGGTCACAGGGTATGCAAATAATCAACTTTACAAGGTAATGCTGAAAGTTTTTTTCCAAAGATATTGTAGGATTCACATTAGCCCTTACAACCTATCAGAGATCTTCTTGATTTACATTCTCTCCAACACTTGGTATTGCCAAATGTCTTACTCAGATGGGTGTAAAATGTAAGTCACTTTGAGCTTAGTTTGCGTTTCCCAGATTACTTACGAGCTTGAGCATCTTTCATATGTGTATTTTCATACATTTCTAATGCCATATATTTGCATTTGTTAGAGTTGCCTTTCAAAATATCCTTTGCTTTGGATATGTAAATCCCTACTTAATACGGAATTAATTTTTTTTTGTTACCCATATTTTGCCATTTCTGGTGTTCTGTATATTTCATTTCTGTTTGAGTTTCCATCTAGTGTCATTTCCCTTCCACCTGAAGACTTCTTTTAGCATTTCCTAAAGTGCATGTCTTCTGGTAATGAGTATTCTCAGCTTAAGTTTATCTGAAAGTGTCACTTTTAAAAGGATATTTTCACTGGTTGTAGAATTCTGGGTTGCCTTTTTTCCCAGCACATTAAAGATATTTTACCCTTATTTCCTGCCCTCCACTGTTTCTGATGAGAAGTCAGTAGTCATTCCTGTCATAATTCTCCATAGTATAATGGATGTTTTTTCCTCTAGCTGCTTTAATTTTTTTTTAAACAGTTTTCAGAAGTTTGAGTATAATGTGCCTTTGTATTTATCCTGTTCTCTTTTTTATTCTGTTTGGGATTCACTGAGCTTCTTGAATATACAAGTTGATGTTATCACCAAATTTGGGAGATTTTCAGCCTGTGTGTGTGTGTGTGTGTGTGTGTGTACATACACACATATATGTATACATATACACATATATACATATACACATATATATACATATACACACATATATACATATATACATGTACACACATATATACATATATACATGTATATACATGTACACACATATATACATATATACGTGTATATACATGTACGCACATGTATACATATATACGTGTGTATACATGTACGCATATATATACATATATACGTGTGTATACATGTACGCATATATATACATATATACGTGTGTATAC